TAGGGAGCCCCCCCCCCCTTTCTGGTCCATGCACAGCCCCTTGCTCTGCTCTCCAAATGCTCCTGCCCCAAAGCTCCCCAGGTTAGGGAGGGAGACTCTTGGCCCTGGTAGGTCCCACCAGAGGCCCCCACCTAGAGGGTGGGGGTAATCGGGCTGGAGGTCCCAGGCTGAAGCTGGTCACCTTTTGCAGGTGGGTCGCTGGGACCATGGTGTCCTCCACATGAAGTACCCGGTGTGGCCTCGCTATAGTGCCTCCCTGCAGCCTGTAGTGGACAGCCGGCACCTGACGGTGGCCACGCTGGAAGAGCGGCCCTTTGTCATCGTGGAGAGCCCTGACCCCAGCACGGGCGGCTGTGTGCCCAACACTGTGCCCTGCCGCAGGCAGAGCAACCACACCTTCAGGTCCGTGCGAGGGCACAGGAAGGCCCGGTGTGAGCTGTGTGCTGGCGTGTGACGGCAGGCGTGTGTGTCTTATGCCTGGGTGTGGGGGCGGGGGCCACCTGCCAAACTGGGAGTTGCTGCTGGCTCTGACTGCTGGTGGTCTCTTGGTGGCAGCAGTGGTGACACGGCCCCCTACACCAAGCTCTGCTGTAAGGGCTTCTGCATTGACATCCTCAAGAAGCTGGCCAAGGTGGTCAAGTTCTCCTATGACCTGTACCTGGTGACCAACGGCAAGCATGGCAAGAGGGTTCGAGGCGTGTGGAACGGCATGATCGGGGAGGTAGGCCCGCCCTTGCGGTCCACCTGAGCCCACCCCCCTGCCCGCCCGCCACCCCAGGCCCCATGCATCGCTCAGCCACCCCTAGATGTTCCTGTGCCGGGGGTCAGTCAGGGCGGAGCCTGGGGCCAGCTCCCACGGCTCTCCCAGTCGGCAGGGGAGAGGGGTTGTCACCAGTGATGCTCCCTGGGGTGGTCAGTAGTGCAAGTGGGGCTCTGAGGACCCCAGATGGGAACAGCCCACTCAGTCAGGGGGGTGGTAGACGGGGGTGGGGGCTGTGGAGAGTGCTCCAGCCTGTGGGACCCCTCCTCCAACCCGGCCCGGCCCCCACGACCCCAGGTGTACTACCAGCGGGCAGACATGGCCATCGGCTCCCTCACCATCAACGAGGAGCGTTCCGAGATTGTGGACTTCTCTGTGCCTTTTGTGGAGACGGGCATCAGTGTGATGGTGGCACGCAGCAATGGCACCGTGTCCCCCTCGGCCTTCCTGGGTGCGGCTCTGGGTGGGCGGGGATGGCTCTGGGGTCTGAGGCGCAGGCGCAGAGACGGGGAGTTTGGGGTGGGCCTCAGAGGGCCAGCGCAGCAGCCGCGGGCGCCTTGGAGGTTGGCCGGAGGCCTGAGCTGCAGGACGGTAGGATGCAGAGGGATAGGAGGCGAAGTCCGTGTTCCCTCTGAGTCTGAGTGTTGGGTAAGGAGGGTGGAGGGGTCACTGTGAGGGGCAGGGAAACCGGGAAGGCGGGCCGACTTCAGGAGGCGCCTGGGAGGCTGGGACACACCAGGGGAGAAGCTTCACAGGGAGCTGGAGGAGCCAACCCAGAGAGTGGGAAGTAGCAGTAGGAATTCAGCCTTGTGGGGGCAAGCCCCTTCGTGCCAGGCCTCACACTAGCTGCTGGGGAGACAGCCACAGTCCTGGCCGCTGCCCAGCGTCCTGTCAGGAAGTCAGTGGGCCCTGGAGTGGGGGATTTTCAGAGAGCCCCGAGGACAGGCAAGCCTCAGCCAGGAGCAGAGGAGAGAATCCCCTTCCTGCTGTGTGGCCTTGAGCAAGTCACTGAACCTCTCTGATCAGGATTCCTCAGCTGCGTAAGAGACAACAAGCCCCACCCCCACGGGATGGGCATTGCGGCAAAGGACACAGTGCTTATGGCAGTAATGCCTGCTTGCTCTGGGAGACTGAAGCCACTGAACAGATTGGTCAGAGAAGCTCAGTTGGTCTCCCCAGCTCCTGGGGCTTCGGGGCCCCGTCAGGAGGATCAAGAGTGAGACTTGATCTCAGAGACCCTGATTCCAGGCAGAACAAACAGCCAGCCATCAACGCTGGGCCAGGCGGGGCACTTCCAGAACAGGAGTGTGGTTAGCGGTGCTGGCCGGTGAGGGAGGAGAGGGAAAGAGGATTCCTTGGGCATGCTGGTGATACTTGGGATCAGGCTGGGTGGGGAGGAGGAGGGGGATGGGAGATGGAGTGGGTTGCAGGCAAGGGGGTGGGAGAGGAAGGGGAGAGAGCATGGGGCGTAAACTCCCTTTTTGTGAAAGGAAGTTGGGGGTCGGTGTGGGATCCAGGGGAGATGTGTAGTCAAAGGGAAGTTTCCTGGGGTGGGGTGATGGGACCCGGTCCCAGGGCAGAGGGGAAGGGGAGACAGAGAATGCTGGAGAGGCTGATCTCTCTTGGGGGTGGTCTCTCCCGGGGCCCTGCTGCTCTGAGAGTCAGAGACCCCTTGGCTCAGTCCTCGGAGCTGACGGGCCCCACTTGGACCATGTGGACGCACCTGTCTGCACCCAGTGCTCTGGGCTGTGGGTGGGAAGGACAGTAGTGAGGCCTCTGAGCTGCCTCCCTCTGTTCCCAGAGCCCTACAGCCCTTCAGTGTGGGTGATGATGTTTGTCATGTGTCTCACCGTGGTGGCCATCACAGTCTTCATGTTTGAGTACTTCAGCCCTGTCAGCTACAACCAGAACCTCACCAGTGGCAAGAGTAGGCTCTCACCTAGGCCTGGGAGGGAGGGAGCATTCTGGACGGGTGGGCTCAGGGCTGCAGGGGCCCTACAGAGAAGGCTGGATCCTGGGGGAGGTCTCTGGCTTTTGGACAGCAAGCAGGGGCCAATCAGATATATGAGAGAGAGAGAGAGAGAGAGAGAGAGAGAGAGAAAGAGAGAGAGAGAAAGAGAGAGAGAGAGAGAGAATGAGAGAGAGAAAAGGGAGACAAGGTGGGTTGGCTTGCCCTGGAGGGGCGATGGCTGGGGATAGGGCCCCACCCAGGACAGAGTGAAGACTGGGGTCCCTCTGTGCCCACCCTCTCACCCCCAGAGTCTGGGGGCCCATCCTTCACCATCGGCAAGTCTGTGTGGCTGCTGTGGGCGCTGGTCTTCAACAACTCGGTGCCCATCGAGAACCCCCGAGGCACCACCAGCAAGATCATGGTCCTAGTCTGGGCCTTCTTCGCCGTCATTTTCCTCGCCAGCTACACTGCCAACTTGGCCGCCTTCATGATCCAGGAGCAGTACATCGACACTGTGTCTGGCCTCAGTGATAAGAAGGTTCTGGGGCTACAGCTAGCAGAGGGCGAGGGGTGCTGAGAGCAGGGGTAGGCCTGTGGGACACAAAAGGGGAATCTGAAATGGAGCAGGGAGTAGGAAGGAGCTGGAGACCTGGTTGAGGGGAGGGCTGGGGCCTGGGGAGAGGGGGCGGATGGCTCAGGCGCATCGACAGAGTGGCCTTGGGTAAGTCTCTTCCTGACCTGGCCTCAGGTTTCACCGTTTGTAAAATGCAGGAGTGGCCCAGACGGTCTCTCTCAGACTCCTGTGCCCTCACTCTGCAAGTGCAGACTCCAGGGCTGGGCGCCGGGGATGGGGTCGGGGAGCGCTGGTGTGTCCGCAGGCTTGGACGGAGGTGACGAATGGCGCCTGCCCTCTGCCCGCAGTTTCAGCGGCCTCAAGATCAGTACCCACCATTCCGCTTCGGCACGGTGCCCAACGGCAGCACAGAGCGGAACATTCGCAGCAACTACCGAGAGATGCACACCCACATGGTCAAGTTCAACCAGCGTTCGGTGGAGGATGCGCTCACCAGCCTCAAGATGGGGTGGGTCCTCAGCCCTGCACCCACCCTCTGACCGTCTCTACCCACATGTCTCCCCGTTGACCAGCCTCAGCTCTGGCCCTGTCTGGGAGACCCAAGGTGGAGACATGGAGGCCGGGGTGTCCTGTAGGACTCGTAGGGAAGGGGGAGGGAGGTCTGGGGGCAGAGTGAAGTTTCAAGAAAAACTGGAGGCCCACCATTTGGCCCACAGATGCAGCTGAGATACTGAGCAGGGTTCAGCCTTCATCTGAGTGGTGGCTGTGACCTTCTTAGGGTCCTAGGGAGATGGAGGGGCTGGGCACGGAGGGAGTGTTCTCTGGAGGCAGAGGGTCCCCTGGCCTCTCTGAGAGGAGGGGAGGTGGGGTCCCTGAGCTATGGAAAAGGGCTCTTCTCTGCATTCAGGATCCAGGGGAACCAGAGAAGTCTCTGCCCACCCAGCCCGTCTGGTCAGTGCTCAGTGGGCTCACGCAGCCCAGACCCCTGTCAGGCCCCAGGTTGGGTATCCTCATCTCACATGACCCCTGGCCTGTCCCCAGGAAGCTGGATGCCTTCATCTATGATGCTGCTGTCCTCAACTACATGGCGGGCAAGGACGAGGGCTGCAAGCTGGTCACCATTGGCTCTGGCAAGGTTTTTGCCACCACTGGCTACGGCATCGCCATGCAGAAGGACTCCCACTGGAAGCGGGCCATAGACCTGGCGCTCCTGCAGTTCCTGGGGGATGGTGGGTGCTGCTGCTGGGGACCTGGGGTCCAGGGTGGGCCGTGGAACCTGAGGTGGGGACAGCTGCCTGATGGCCAGTCAGCATCTCCACTACCATTCTCTGAGTCCCAGGGCCTGTGGGCAGGAAGAGGTCTCTGGGAGTGAGGCTGGGGCAGGGAGGATGGGAGGGTGGCATTTGGAAGGACCACATGGAAACCTGGGGAAGGGGTGGGCTTGCCAGGAGGGAGTGGGAAATAGGATTTCAGGAGGCTCCCTGGAGGGCAGGAAGACAGGAAGGAGCTCAGGCCACACAGTGGGGCTTGGGGGAGGCTGACATCCTGTCTTTTTTCTCTAGACCCCTGTCCCGGCCATTTCCATCTTGAGGTCACCTAGGATAGTGCCAAGGGCCTGCCTCATCCCAGAGCTGGGGCTCAGGCTTGCCTTGGGACAGGGGGCTCACATATGTAAGCAGTACAGCGGAACCTGCCCCCAAACCCAGAGCTTTCAGTGCTATGAGGTCAAACTGATTTTCCATCAGTGCCACAGATTGAGAGTGATAGCAGTTAAGGTGCTGGGATGTCCTAGAGGACCTGGGCTTTTAGTCTCTGTGTGCCAAGCTCTGTGCCTGGCTTGTAGATGACCAATAGGTTTGACCCAGGTGTGAATGATAGGTAACATACCACGTCTGCCAGCTTTTACTGGGTGTGTGTGTGTGGGGGGGGTGGGCATGTCCAAGGCTGGCATTGTCTACCCCAGCCCCCACTCTGCTTTCCTTTCTTCCTGCTCATTGCCACCTCCCTTCCCCCACCCCCATCCTGCCCTTGCTGGCTAGATCCCTCTGTGGTCCTGTAAGGGGCTGGCTCCAGACCCCTCCTTGCTCCAGGCTTGGGCGAGCATTGGGAGGGTCTTTCCTGAGCCAGGTGTGCCCCGACCCCCCGCTCCCGCCTCTCACCAGGGGAGACACAGAAGCTGGAGACGGTGTGGCTCTCGGGGATCTGCCAGAACGAGAAGAACGAGGTAATGAGCAGCAAGCTGGACATCGACAACATGGCGGGCGTCTTCTACATGCTGCTGGTGGCCATGGGACTGGCCCTGCTGGTCTTTGCCTGGGAGCACCTGGTCTACTGGAAGCTGCGCCACTCAGTGCCCAACACGTCTCGGCTGGACTTCCTGCTGGCTTTCAGTAGGGTGGGTGGCACCCCACCCCAGGCAGGTCCCAGCTTTAGGGGCACCAACCCAGATAAGTCAGAGCTGGCTATGGCCCCATTTACAGAGGTAAAAACTGAGGGCCTTCCAGCATCACACAGCAGAAGAGAAGCAGAGCCCTTCTGCCGCAGGCTGGGCAGTGTTTCCGAGCCAGGCTGACCGGGTTCGAACCCTCACTGCCATTTACAAGCTGTGTGCCTTTAGGAAGAGATAACCTCTTGGAGCTTCAGATTGCTCCCTGGCAATTGCTCTCACAGTGGCGCAGTGCCGGGCGCATAGGAGGCGCTTAACGAATGTTAGTAGCTTCCTACGACTTCGGACGCCTGGGCTGGTGCTTGGACCGGGAGGCGGGAGGTCCCTGAGAGGAGCTGGCCACTCATGGCTGTCTCCTCCCGGCTGCCCAGGGCATCTACAGCTGCTTCAG